TTCCTTGTATTTCCGTCCGTCCATGAAAAATAGATTACCGGTAATTCATTGATTTTCGTCAATATTCAAAAGAAATATCACATGGAAGCAATTAATAAACCCATGCAAAATATTTAATGAGGCTATCGTGAATGTCGCCGTGGGCGGGGTACCAATCGTTCATGCGACCCTAATTAATGTTCCTGTACGTTCTACAGCATAAGGGATACTACACTCTAATCAGTGATTAAGTATTAATTTCTTCATAATTATGCTTTTCTCTTCCGTTTCTCGCCGTAATGCCCATGACGGAGTTTAGGACCGATTCGGAAGCACAGACTTTGCGTCACCCATCTTAGACAAAGAGCAGAACGTGAAGCTCGAGGTGGCCAAGGAAAATGCAACCCACACTTTGTTTGCTTGGACCCGACCTGCAAAAACATCCGACACCTCCGGCCAAGACTGGCAGATCAATGTAATTGTTTAAAAAAAAAATCCGTTTTTATGCACCGAATTTTTAATTTTTTGTTTGTGCTTTTACTCTCCAGAATGAGATGATTGAAGTTTTGTGGGCTTATACTGATGAAGATCCCATTGGAGCTCCAGCCATGCACACGGAGAGAGGACACATGAAGTTGAATCTCGTGGAAAAACATCCTACTTTGGGGAAACCTTGAGCAAAATAATAATAATCTATCCTCCGGCTTTATCCAGAAAACAATACTTATTTTTCCTGGAAATATGAGTGGCATAATAAGAATGCATTTCGAAGAGGAAGCTTATTTGAGCATGCAATAAATTCTTTTTAAGCATCAAAAATGTTGCATGATTTTACTCTCAGCACAGCAGTAGTTAACAGTCAGTGTTGAATTGATCGGTTTCTTTTTTGTTTTCTTTTTCGCTGAGTATGTCCATTTTGAACCGCAGAATATTTTGATGGTTTCGATATTTTTGCACGGGCGAATTAGTTGAAATTTCAACGAAATGATTTTTGGACATACTGTATATCGTAGGCTTTAGTGGGTACCTTGAGATTTTCACACACCACTTCAATCTTTTACAAATGGGGAAATGTTCCTTGTGGGATGGTTGTTCGATAGCACAACTTGACTTTCCTTAGGCTCATGATGTGCTCATTTTCCCGAGGTAACTGTGGATTTAGGCGATTTTTTATTTCTGAGAATTGAAAGGCGCAGCGGAGATCTCTTAGTTAATTTCAGGAAAATTTCGAATACGGTAGATTTAAATTTACGCATATGTAATCAGCATTTCAAGACCATCTTAGTTACTCGTGTTATGTAGAAATGCCAACAGAATTGCATCAAAGTGAGAGAAAAAAAATCGCGTCTAACTTAGATTAAGGGCTGATGAACGTCATTTATTCACTTTTATCGTGTTAATGAAGGAGAAACTCTTTAATTTTAACTGTTCTACTAGGATAAAAAAAATTTCACATGCCTCAATCGATTGATTTATGCACAAGCCTTTATTTGCTACTTTTTGTCACTCCAAGTCCAAACCAACATATAAACAATTAGAAAAAAAGTTTGGGATGCACATTCGCTTTCGAGAAAAAACGCATTTGATACATTCATCGGACATAAATCAATTCAGGCTCAGAATGTCGCTCTTCGTCGATATCAAGTCGGGTCAGTTCGATTTCCGGTTGGTTCTGAAGGTCTTGTCTGGAGAAGAGCGGAACCATGTAAAAGAATCTGAAAATAAGCAGGAAATTTATTGCACATGTAATCATCAGCAGTTCATCAATGAACGAATGACACGTGATCATTCTTTTTCTTATTTTCTTCGATATTTTTCATGAAAAACCCATCCATAGAAACTCATATGCTGTCCTCTATGATAAATAGTCTGAAACCCATGGTCCACGAACCAGCGTCATCTGAAGAATTTTTTAGCAGTTCATGAGGAATTCGGCATGATAAATCCTTTATTTAGCATTATACATTTATCACAGGTGATAATGAAGTTTGTTATCTGTATCTGAAATTTTTAAATGACAATGGCAGTTGAAATTATCTGATGAAAAGTGAAAGTTGGCTTTTCACCTATAATAGTATTGTGCATCAAACACATTCTAACCGGTTTAAAAAAATATTTCAAATATCTATTCTGAAAAGCCTTACATAAAGCCCAGCTTTCTGATTTTCGGAACAAATATCACTATAGCTCCTTCATTAGTTATTAACTTCAATTTTAAAATATAAGTTTGGTTGGCGGACTTCATGGCTGATAATTGGAATATTTCTGCTGCTCTGCAAAAATTCTAGGGGACTTCGCAAGTCCACGGCAAATTAATGTGCGTTTGCTGGTATACACGGGTCCAATACGGTTGGGGATCTAGCCAACCCGCAATGAAATGGGATGCTACTTCTATGTTTCATCCCCAAAGTATAGATGTCACTCACTCCGACGGTCCTCGAATGTCAACTGTTTGAAGTCGCCTGTCGATGTCATCTCGAGGATTTACCGACATCATCTTTACTGATGGCATAATGACAGAAACCACCTGCAAAGCGAAGATTACACTGCCTGAAAAGCGCAGGTCGCATTTCATGCTTTCTTGAATACAAGTACTGTATTTACTTCAGGAAACGATACACCTTTTTTGTAACTCAAAATTGAAAGGAAAAACGGGGTGCACGTCATGGGATGGTATAAATGCAAAAACGTTTTAAAAGTTTTGGTACGCATGATATTTGATTCTAATTGGAAATTTTGAGCAGATTTTGTCAAAATAATTCATTTTTATGTAAGCAATTGAAAGTTAATTGAATTCTGGTTAAAACTGTGCCTATATATTCACATTTAGGTGTTCTTATTCTTGAAATATTGGAGTAATAGATTCATTGAAATGGGGTGTGTGTCTTACTTGGGGATACAGTTCAATCAAACTTTTAAACTGGAAAACATGGGTGTGTGCCTTAAATTACTTGAGGGTAACTGGTTCTTGAGTAAATACTGTATGTTAACAAGTGATAAAGTACCGTTGCCATTGATGAAGGTTACAATATATAGGTACAGCAGCAGTAATGTTCAGTAATTGCAACACAAAGACTCCGACTTTTCCTACGATGAATCAAATGTCGCGCAGTAATTTGAGCATGCTACTTTGTTTTTATTCTTCTTACAAGAAAAGGACTGTGAAAGAGTATTCATTGACCCTCTTCGGTGTTACAAATAGGAAGACTCGATTTTTTTTCCAATTTCAGGAGAACATGACTGAGCCCAGGTTTTGATGATCCTCATCCAAAACCCATTTATTTACAGAGGACAAATTGGATCAGCTCATATGCACCCTTATTTTATAAGCAAGCATTCTTATTTTCAAACATATTTTGACTTGGTGTGGAGTTAGTGGTGTTATTTCTGCAGTATAAAAACTTTGGTTAATACATTGCCATCAGATCAGACCACCTTCTTTTCTTATGCCCAGCTGTAGCTTATGCACAGCTACCGGAATGAGCTTCAACAAGATTTGGGACACTTGAAATTCAATGTAAAAACACTTTCCAAAATCTTGGGGGACGCAGATAAATTGAGTACCTTTTTAAAATTTCTCCTCAAAGATTCTCTCAAAATTGTTTAATAAACTTAAACTTATTTGGGAGTTAGGCTGAACACCTTGTGCATTAATTTGGGTTCAATAATTGCCTTATGCTGTTATTTGCATTACTGATAGTATTTTGCTATTGGGGAGGGGAGGAAAGTGTGTGCATTCACAGCAGTTGTGCAATTGTACATTTTGGGATGCATTTTCATTTTTTTTAACCATTGGGCAGTGGTGCTGGGATTTATCCTCAAAATTTTGAACCCCAAGGATTGGAAAAAAGGGGTGAACAAAAACGGTTAAAAGAGCCAAAGTTGAGAAAATGTTCAACTTTTTTGCGTTCCTGCAGAAAAAATTGCAAGAAAAAAATTACTGTTGGGTGACATTTTTGGCATTCCTACCAGCATTGGATTATTATTGGGAGATTAGCAGGACAATGACTTTCTTTTTTTGAAATTTTCCCAACTTTGGCCACTCAGCCAAATCTGCATTTTTTTTTACCTTATTTGGTCAAACCAAAAGGCAGATTCCGGAAAAAATCCTGGCACCTCTCCATGATGGAAAAGAACCCACCACTGCCCAAGGGTTAATATCCATATGCAGCTTACTTCTCCATTTTCCATCATATGATGTGATGGAAATATGGAATGTAATTGGATGAATGTATGTGGGGAGGGGAGGGGGTTTGGATTTGGGAACATTCCTTGAACCTTGTGAATGCTGCAAAACAGAAAATAAAGCTTGCTGATCAATAAATTAATTAATCTGTGATCTTTGATTAACCAAGCACACACAAGGCACCCAGATGTTTTTTAGTCATTTTATTGTATAGGCAGAGTTATAAACTGAACTCCTCTCTACTTGGTGTGACCTTGCCATCATTTGAATTATATTTAAATTAAACGCTGTACTGTACACTGTTCAACAGGGGCCCCAAGATGTGGACATATGTAAGGAGTGAATAATATGCAGCGGCGTGATCATCATAGAGAAAGAAAAGGAAAAAAAGGTATGCTGGGGCTCCACTCTGTTCACTCCACACTAGGAAGTGATACCACGGATGGATTCAAAACGAATGCCTCACCAGCGCAGTGGTGAAGAAAGCAGCCAAGCTGAGGTGCGACAGTGCCATGTTGGTGCTTGATTGCCTCCTCGACAGTGCAAATAACCAACAAGAGAATGGAGAATGATATTTTTGTGCCAGAATTTACGCGGTGAAAAACGGCGGGTATACAGGCAACAAGATCAAAGGTTTAGTGATGTTACTGTATTTGGTTTTCCGTCAGGACGGCAACCAGCAGACTGACAAGAAACCCACTCGATGGCAACGATGATCCATAAAGTGGCGGTCTTTTTGTCAGGTGCACTGACCTGTTGGACAGGACTGGACCCGCCGTCTAGCTGTCCAATGACCCAGAAAGAAAATTCCTTCGACACTCCTCTTCATTCTCCTCACCATCATAATCCTGCGGACCTTTAGAAACTTCTGATGTTTTTTCGTTGAAGGATAAGCTGCGAAGTTCAATCACAAACATTCTAGAAAAAATGAAGGCTCCTGAGCGTAAAAAAAAAGGATACTTCCCGAATTTTTCGTTATTGAGGATCAAAACGTTCCGGATAACAACCTTGTCTGGTTCATCGGATCGAAACATCACAGCATCCCAGAAAAACCGTCCCAAAGAAATTCTGCTTACCATCATTGATTAAATGGAAATGAAAACCCCATTCGATAGCATGAATTCAGAAGAGGACATGTTTTCAGGAAAGCGAACTCTTTGCAGTATAGGAATAGATTATCGATCGAGCTTCGTCACGTTAGTCTAGATGTCGTTTATTCGAATGCTTTAGTGACTTTGTAGAGCATGTTTTGCTCGTTCACCTAAAAAATTCAATTCATTTGGACTGTCACGTTACCTCAAGAAAACCTGTAGGGAGGCTTTTTTCCGTCCTAAAGGCGACAACAAATAGTTTTGAACTATGAAATATTATATTTACTCAAGTACCATGCGCACCTTTTTCTCAAATTTCAGAAGAAAAAAACTGGTGCGTGTCATAAGCAGGTAAAAATTTTTCCAAAAGTTTTAGGAAGTTATGTGTGCATTATACTCAATTATAATGGAGAAATTTTGTACAAATGTAACAAGAAAACTTTTTTGTACTAAAAAAGTTGAAATTGATCAGATTTTTGTTCAATTCATGCCTAAAGTCAAATTTTTGTTCTTATTTTCAAAATTTTGTGGTTTTAGATTCACTGTGAATTGGGGTGCACATCTTACTTGGGGATAAGATTTTAGCAAAATTTCCAACTGAAAAACCCCTGTGCGCATCTTACTTGAGGGCATGTGGTACTTGAGTAAATACAGTAAAGAGATAACTTCAGCATTTTGCATATGCAATTGAAGAGTAACCAGAGTTTAGGAAATAAAACCTGATTCTGGGTTGCTGATGGAGGACAGATCAATCACTTCCTCCAGGAACAACCTTAAGTGACTTGACTGACTCACTGTCTGGCTATAATGCCCGAAAATTATTGGACACAGCGGAAAATATGACGATACGGATTTATGTAAAAATTAACTTTTTTTAATTTGTGAGTTAAAACGAAGAATCGCAAAAAGGTTTGGCCATTGATCAAGCTTAAATAATGCTTCTTGACTCATGAGTGTAAGCATCCCATTTCTCAAGCTTGAGATATTTAATAGCATACACGGCAGTTAAATTGTTTTTAAACTTTTTTCTTGCCATTCTGAAGAGAACCACGGATGCATAGGGTGAAATATTTGAAAAAGTGGGAGAGGAAACATATACTTTATGAATAGGGGTGTAATTTCGTTTCAACCTCATCACGGGAACAGAAAAACAATGTTCGCAGAAGAATAAAAGTCTTTCGTCATCCGTTTTGATTCGTTTATTGTACTTCATATGATAGAATACGGTTTGAGGAAGTTAGAAACACTTTTCCACGCCAGGTCGTCAGCACATAACAAGTGAAAACAGTAAAAAAAAAAAAACATTTTTTCTCACCCGTCCATTACTCTGATTTTTTTTCTCGAGTAGGTTTATTCAAAAACTGAAACGAATAGCACCGATTCTCGTAGGACAAATGCATGCCATAGATTTTCAGATAACTGAGAAAAAAGCTGCTCTGGAATATGAGTCAAAAAGTCATTCATCATCGGCACACAAAAAGAAAAAAATAGAGCTTCGGACAGCACAAAATTAAGATCCCATCCATAAAAGAGAAGAGACGATATCGTCGTTGCTCAGGATGATTTCCTCAGCAGACTCTCGTAATAAAGCTGGATGTCTCCATATTGAAGGAAGGCGAGGTCAGCCACTCAGCCGTAGTAGGGCCGCCGGTAGCCGCCGCCACGGCCGACGTAGATGCCGCCTCCGTGCGGGCCTCGAATGGCAACGCCGGCTCCTCTATACACTCCGCCGCCTCCGTAATATGGTCTTCCGTAATAGGGTCGTCCGTAATAAGGTCCCCCGTAGTACCGTTGCTCGTCGACGACTAGGTCATCGACGACAGCTGGAACTTCCTCAGCAGGGCTCAGGTCTAATTCCAGATTTTGTGGAGCCTCTGCGGTCACGATCGTTGCGACCATGGCCACCAGGGGCAATGCCATCTTTAAAAAAATAATAAGAAAACAAGTAAATGAACAAGTTCCAAGACTGTTGGGAATGTGTCCTGGATCGTCAATCATCAGAACAAAACAATTTTCTTATTATTTTCACTCAATTTGATAATTTTCAAATTCCTACATTCGATATTGGAAATACTGTACTGTGTTGAACCAGGATAAATCAAACCTCCCAAAGTCAAGTACTGTACCTCCCTAAGTTTTTTTTTTTTTCAAGTGCCTGTCTGAATTTTCTTTAAAAAAACCATTGAAAACCTATCTAGCTTGAAGGCTGTTCCTCTCAAACCTCCTTAACTCCAATTTCTTTTGGCCTTTTGGGCTACTATTTTCTGGACGAACAGGAAACAGGAAACAAAAAAGTAATTTGATTGTGTTTTGAAAGGAAGTGAAAGACTAATTGGGCAAGTGAACCCTTGCCACTGATGAGTTGAACATCCCATCAATTCATTTAAAAAGCAATTCAAGGCCAACAATATCCTCATTATTTATAAGTTCCTGCACTTATTTTTCATTTCCCAAAATAAGGCTCGTTTCCTTAGCTTGAAACCTCATCCTAACTCGAATTTTTTTTGGCTATTCGAATAATTGAAGAGATTGAGAGACTGTAGATTCTGAATATGGTGGTCAGATATTCAATCAAGCCCTGAATCAAGTACTTTGAATTTCCATCTCAAAATCATACAAAACTTGGGACGTTCCGAATGCTTCCAAGTTCCGATTTTGAGGGTTGGTCCTTTTAGCAATCATTTTCGGTTTAAAGAAAAAGAGCAGGATTCTATTTTTCTCATGTTCAGCGAAATTTTTAGACGGAAAGGTCATCATTAAAGATCATGAAGGGGAAGAAAATAATCTATTATAGAGAGACACTGTAACAACCATGGAACTTGATGACATTTTTAAACCTTGAGTGAGAAGCAATAAAGAAGTTAATCAGGCTAATTCAAGATTTGCCAATGTCCATTTCAGGAGTTGTTGGCAGTTTCGTTGTTGTTGGGTAAAACAAGTGAATTTATCAAAACGGTGGAGAATAGCATTTGCAAGTCTGGGTTCAAAATTTCCAATCGAGGGAAAATAATTTCAGAAGCTTAGATTGAATTTGGATTTTTGCATCCCTTATGGATGCGTCTAAACTGGATCACGGAAATCAATATTACCTATCAACATTAAAATATCCAACATTAATACAGATTTAAACTTTTAAAATAAGGCAGACGATAAAATTTAGGCTCCTGGAGTTGAGAATTTTTTTTTATTGAAACCCCTGAAAACCGTGTGTAGGAAAGCTCGTAACGAGATTCTCGAACGGGATTGTTTTCGATGTTTGCGGTATGGAATTGGATATTTACCTTTTTTTCTCATTCCTTGATGAAAGTTGATTTTTATTATTTTCAATTTGTTGCACAAATTTTCGAAGCAAACCTTTCTGGCTGCAATCGAGTGATTTTTTCTTAAAAGTAAGAAATCAATAATTTTAATTTTTCAGGCCCTACTTCGCCTGCGTAGAAAATGTTTTGGGGACTCGAAAGACAATTTAGAAATATCTCGTACCTCAGTACTTTGCTGTTGTATTCTCTGACAAAGAGAAACCTGCCTTAAAAATGTGAAGGCTCTAATTTTATATCGAATGCCACGGAAGCCATAACAAAGAAAAATGTTTTTACTCACCAGAAAGATTCTCATGTTTGTTTGTGGGATGATGCGAAGTACGCCTCTTGAAACAAAAAAAAAAACTGAAGATTCTTTCTACTATTTTCAAGCACAAAATCTCTGCACACCACGTGTAGCCACTTTTTGGAATGGAAACTGCGCCCAGGGCAAGTCTGGTATTATACCTTTTCTTGAACGTGCTCAAGGCCTTCTCTTGTCCCGTATAGTTTCCGGGGCGCGGGTTCCCTGTCGACTTTTTCCTTTAAGGTAAGGCAAAGGTATTCTGGCACCTTGAAAAAACAACAGCATGATGGGCACGACACGCTCATCACGGCCCAGCGGTTTCTATTTTACATAATGCGTTTGCCTATTTACGGACCTGCGAAAAGCCTCGCTTCTCTTTATATGTAAACCGACTTTGACCCCAGCACGTGATTATGGTATAGTGGATTTGATCGGGCGAAATTTGAAGTGAGGGTTTCACAACGATTCATTCATTATTGTGATTGACCGAGAGGGATTTTTGAAATAATTATCGATTCCTTCGAGAAATTTAATGTATTTTACTGATCAATACTGCAGGAGTCACCATTTGGAACTTCTTGAAATATATTGGAGGAGTTGGCCTCAAGTCCCGTTCTATGCTCGGAAAATCTCAGACTGAATAAAAAAAAAACTCGAAGGTTCATCAGAAAATAAACTTTTAAATATTACATTTAAAAGTGACCGTAGACAATTTTTTATAGACTGAATTAAAAAAAAACTCGAAGGTTCATCAGAAAATAACATTTAAAAGTGGCCGTAAAATTTTATTTTTGCATTTCCATATTAAGCACTGTAACTTACAAACTGTCATTTGAGAGTATTGAGACCGAAGAAAATCTCGTATACCGCATTTCCTTCATATTTTCTTAAGAAAGAAAATGACCAGGAAATAATTTTCTATAAACACCGGATTCATGGACATCAAAAGTGGAATTGAACTTCTTAAAAATGATTTCAAAATGTCTTCGCTTGAACTGGAAAATAGTATTTTGGAAAATAACCCAGTCAGAGAGCCTGTGAAGATATCTGATTGATTATCTATCCGTGCTGGCGATGACAGAGCAAATCGACATTATAAATTAATAGCAACGTTCAAATAATGAAATGAGGTGATTAAATCCATATTTTTCTACCCATCGCTGAATGGTCATAATAGCAACATGAACTGGTATCTTCACTGTCCCAAATAATTGAGTATATCTTGCGTAGGGTCTCTTCTTTCTTGCCCTCGGGGTTTCAGAGGGTGCATTGGCCCTTCAGGTGAATTTTAAAATGTTCTTTCACCCTAACCGAGCCCTCAACCTGTCCTTGAAATTCATAGAACCTATAAAGTATGAAACGAACAGTTCCTTCAGGTGTTCCTCGAGTTCCTTACGCGAACCCACCCAAAAATGGATATTCTGTACAGTACATTCATCGATGACGCGGAAAAATCCAGGATTCAGAAATGTAGTGGAAAAACAATTTTTACATCATGTTTTTCTGCATTTTGGCAGTTGATTTTCGCGTAGGTCGATGCTTACGAGAATGCTTAAAAGTAAAGAAAAAAGATTTGCCATATATTCATGCGATTACAGGTAGCAGTTTTCCTCGTCCAAAATTGGGTTTATTTTATTCCTCCCAGAAATCGGATGTGGCCTACACTTTACGCATCTGAGAGTCTGTCAATAAGCTGGAGACCAGGAATCTCGTATGACTTGCGTATGTTCGAAATTAAATATAATCATGAAATTTAAATGGGAAATCGTGTATCGACTTTCACCCGGCAGCAAAATCAAATCTCTTGGCCAGCTGAAGATTTCTAAACTGTAACATTTTGCTCACTATACAGTACTTGCTGATGATAAAACACCTTAACTCGGTTATTCTTCTGAAGTTCTCCAAAAAAAACATGCTTCTTTACAAAATTAGAACTTTTTAGGCCTGAAGCAATTTTCTCAAATAAGTATACCTCCGAAGCGTTGCATGAAATTGATGAAATGCGACATGAATGTGGTCAAACTTTTAGGCAGATCAGGTGACTAAATAATTTTGCCGATGGATATAACTTCTGATTTTATTTCTCGAGCGCCTGTACGTCTATTGACTCAAATTTCCATGTGCATGTTATATCGTCTTTCGATCATAAACATAACATGTGTCTGCATTTTTCCTTGTTATTTACTTTTTCAAATAGGGAAAACATGTAACGTGCTTTTCTTTACGCGAGATGAATTTCATGGTTGAAATTTATCCCATCAGCCATTTCATTTTTTATTTAAACTGTCGAACTATTTTCAAATGTGAGGAATTCCTGATTCATGGTTGATTTAGGTACATCAACCCTTGGTAATACCAGGGGAACATATTAGCATTTTTTTGCTAAGAAAGCTTCGGAATGAAGAAGACCAGTACTGTATTACAACAGTACACACTGAAACTAAACTTCAGGGATTTACCTGGGGCAAAAAGCTCACCGTTCAAATGCTGGCATCCTGTATAACATGGGCATTAATATCAAAAAGAGAGAATAAACTTGATATTGCTGAAATAAACTTAGCAAAATGCATATCAAAATGACCCAGCACCAATGCCTTAGTATCTTTCTTAAGGGCCTTGAAATTAGAGTATGTGGTCTGTTTTTTTAAAAATTACTATCTATGAATATTGTTTTAAAAAATTTGCTCAATGTGGCGACGAATGTCCATATTATGAGTTAATTTCTGCATGACAGGACACATTTTGCTCGTATGAAATGTCTTTATTTGGAATTGCCTGCATTTTCAAGCAGAATCGACATGGTGAACAGACTTGAACTTTATTCCACGGGACACACGTAACATCATTTGTACAAAAATGATCTGACTGACAAAAATTCATATAGGCTTTGCAAGTGGATGTCAAAATGAGGTCAACCAATGATCCCAGGTAATCCAATTGAAACAGAGCCACCCAAAGGTCCAGTGATAGGGAGGCAACCAGGTCTTCCGGGTGCCACCCCAGGTCTGCCAGGTCCTCCAAATCCAGGCCCTGGTCTGCCAGGACCTCCAAACCCAGGTCTTCCTCAATGACCAGGACCATGACCATGGCCGTGTTCATGTCCATGACCATGGCCGTGTTCATGTCCATGACCATGGCCGTGTTCATGTCCATGACCATGGCCGTGTTCATGTCCATGACCATGACCATGGCCGTGTTCATGTTCATGACCCCCGAAGTCACCCCCATGACCTCCAAAGTCACCGCCACGACCTCCACCTGGTCCTCCAAATCCACCACCATGACCTCCACCTGGTTCTCCAAATCCACCATTTCCTTGTCCTGGGCCTCCACCATGGCCTTGTCCTGGTCCACCACCTCCTGGATGCCCTCCTCCTCCACCACCACCTCCAGGTCGACCACCACCAGATTGACGACGGTTTCTGTTAAGTACATCCTTTCCGTGGCCAACTTCAGAAGTACACACCACTGCGAGCAGCACCAAGGTAGTAAGCGACACCTACATTAAAAAATATAAATTCAAATTTAGCTGGTATACGAATCATACGCGGGGTGACGATCGCATCCAGTCACATTGCTGTCGATGAGCAAAAACCGTTCGAAATTCAATTTTGATGAACAAAACAACCAAATTCATTTTATCGAGAACATTTGATTGCAAAATCCTTCAGCGTACCCATAGTCGCCTTTCGCCCATCTTGAGGTATTTCACACGACCGTAAATCAATCTGCTGAAGAAAGAAAAAAATGAGTTTACACTTTTGAAAATTTTTAATCCCTGTAACACCGCGTTCCGTGAATTGTTTCGGGGTCACTTCGCAGTATGAACCTATATCAAACCCCCAATCCGTCTTATATTCATGTTCTGCTTCCATATTCTGAAGGAAAGACATTCTCCAAACATTATTCCTAAGAAAATAAAGTTACGCAACTGGTCAACTGGGTTTCACTTTCACGTGTCTTGGTGTAGAAGAAAAGAACACATATTTTTCCCCGACAGGAAGCAGAGTGAACCACAACGAAGACCAACGTGGGGATAACTGGCCCACGTGTATCGAACCATTGTAAGTATTGCATTGGTGATATGCACATAATCTGATTTTTTCTTTGGTCATGTACCTGGTGAATGCACAAAAGGTTACCTTGTGATCACAAATTGTATGCATTTTATGGATGGATGCAGTTGCAGTTATCAAAAATCCCCATGGGGAATTCTGTTCTGGGAATTGTTCATCATACTGTCATCATATCTTTAGTGAGTCCTCAAACAGGTTAATAATACCCAGTTCTCTTTGGTTTCCATTTTCAGGCTGGTTTGCTGTTGTTATAAACTCAAGGTGTGTGGTACTTATCACTTGTTTTCTAGGCACCAATATTAATTTCCTATTTAGGTTGTTGCTTTTGCGCATGGCTTTTGCTTAAAAGAACAGGAGGGAAGAGCATATTGTGAATATTAGGCATCCATGGGAGGCTAGTAGTGAAACTTCTGATGTTGCTGCCATTACAAACCTTTCCTTTGGGGAAGCGCTTGAAATTTCAAAAATGTCTAAAAGATTTGCTACAATAAGGCCTGTAAACAAATGTATGCACAGTAAGTTCTCTCTACACTTGGTTGCTTTCTTGCTTGCTTTTGTATTTTACAGTTGTATTCACAGATATGTAAGACAGAGCAGGGCACTCTAGAAGTGCTTCTATGTTTGGTGTGGTCATTGGTCCACGTCTAGATCAGGAAGAGAGCTCATGTTGACCAGGAGGTTGACATTGAATTGGACATGGACAGGACTTTGAACAACCAGGACTCAAGACCAGAACAGGACCAGGCAAGCAAGGACAGCTTCAAGACAGCTAGGGAGTGATCCACATGGTTTTTTTTTTGCACCTTTAGGCTTTTGTTGTACAGCTAGGAAAACTGCAATAAAAAGCTTTAAGAGAGAGCTTTTGTGTTTTACTGTTTTGGTTGGTCTCCCTTCTTTTTATAAAGTTGGATCAGTAACACTGGGCTTCTTCAACACTGGACACCAGAAACAAGGATTAAACAGATTATTCTGAACAATACTGTAAGAGTATCAATGTAAATTCAGAACAGCCAGAACACTGTAAAACACTGTACTGTAAGTTGAAAACACTGATACATGTTAGGAATGTTTTGAATAGACAGCTTGGTGGATTCATTTGATAGCCATGATTCCAGAAGCATTCAACTGTAAGCATGGATATACTGTGGGGCAGAAGGAGCAATTTGACTGGCAACCAGTTCAATAGTGGTCCCTTCTCTGATATCAATGTTGCAATGCCTCCTCCTTCTAATAACATATCTGATTTTTGCAAAACACAAATAAAAGATGCTGATAAGAATGATAGTAAGCAACACAATAGAGACAATTAGATATATATATGCATAGTCTCTAAAATGTAACTGTACTTCACTCATATCTTCTGCAGCTGGATTCCTTGGAGTTTCTGCTGCTTTTTTGATTACAGCATTAACCTCCACATTTTCTGACTTTGGAATGACACTTCTAACTTTGGCAGCTGTGATGACAACTGTCAACGAAAATGACAGAATTGCCTTGGATGACCTGGAGGCAATCCTTAGAAAGAATATCAAGTTGATTTCAAAAATTCTGAGGGCAAGCTGGGCTACAACAAAAAAGGGCACCTTGTCTTTTAAGTGGAGAGTAAAACTCTGCCAGGGTGAATCATGAAAAGAATTCAAAAAAATTGTCAAACTGGGCTGATATTTTTTTGTGTGCCAAATAATATGTTTTCCCTCAAGAAAAAATTTGTTTCAGGTCAACTGTAGGCCATTTTCATAGCTACTCCAAGAACTTTTGTTAGAACCCTCATAAGGCAGGTGGGAATTTCATAGGCATTGATTCCAAATAAATTTCCATTTTGTCTCAAAAGGTGAAAATGATTCAGATAATCCTGTTGCGATTTAGGGGCACCCATGTAGGTGTCCTTGGCAATCAGGAGAGCATGAATTTTGAATAATTCATACACTTCCAAGTTCCGTATCACTGGGACATGTCAGAACATTTAAAATACATGTGCCATATGTTGTTGTTAGAGACTTACAGTCAAACATTCCTGTGGTGACAGGGTTGGAACAAATAATATCAAACAATTCAGTGGCTGAAGGACCATTAATATGGGGGTTGATGTTCAGTGGTGATAATTCCTTTCAACACTGTTTTGACTTGATTACAGTGGGCCCCCAACTTACAATAGGCCCATGTTACATTGGTTTCAACATATGCTTTTTTTTTATTAAAAAAACCTTGACTTATGTTGGGGTTTCATGATACAACAGTAATGTAATAAAATCTGATTACAAAAAACTCCCAGGGACCTGATCAATTTTATTACAATGAGATCCATGGTTTTTTGGGCATGTATGGGACTAACATTTTGTGGGAAACAGATAACAGATGCTAGTACAATACTTCCACAACAGATGCATGAAGAATTGCCCAAATTTTGAACTTTTTTGATGAAATGACAAAGAAAATTTAAAAAGTGAAATACTATTATCTTATTTTAAAGATTTGATTTTTAACATCTTCTGAAAATATACTGATTTTACTGAAGTATAAGCCAAAAATTTCTCACAAAAAGTTGAAATATAAAGGTAATTTTAGTTTAATAATTTTTTCTGGAACAAATTAATTTCTTATAATGTAACCTTGAGGGAAATAGGGTTTCAACTTACAACGGCCCCATGTTACAGCGTCCATCCTGGAACAGATTGATGACATAAGATGGGGGCCCACTGTATAATCAAAAAAATGTCTCTGGAAATCAAATCTCTGAACTTCTTCTATATCTTGCATAAGAAATAGAGCCAAATCTGTTAACTGGGATATTTCTAGACTAAGTGCAAGGGTCTTTGTCCAAATGTTATTACCTGTTTGTGGATTGCTCCCATTGCTTTTGATATTGTCTACAAGATTATCAAGGAGAGATTCATGTTGAAATTGTTCACATGCAAAGAGTGTCAAGGTGGTAAGGAAAGCTCTTTTCTCCTTGACTTGTATTTTCATCAATTTTTGCAATGTTTCTTTCAACTATTGGCAAAAGAATGAGGTAAGGCATCTCCTTCAAGGGGGTCAGCAAATGCTTTTTACTTGAGGGGCTAAATTAATAGTCAAGGCATCCAATTTTTTTATCTTATGGGACAATAAATCCAATGTTACTGTGATAACAGTTGAATAATTGGCAGTACCATTTCTTTAGCTGCAACAAAGCTAGAGGAGAATGAATGGCTCTTTTTCCAAATGGCAATAAGAGATAAAATGAACTGACCAAGGTCTACTGAGGCTTCTGAAGTCCAGAAATTTGTAGGAATACATACTTGGTAGAGATCCTCCACTGTCACTCCTACATTGCCAGGAAAAGTGCAGATGGGGGACACCTTGTCAAAACAATGGCTGTTGGACACAACACCCTTGTTGTCCCTAACTTCCTCAATAAATAAGGCACTGTTCACTTTGAAAAGGGCCAAGAAAGGAATTAACAGAGCCAAATACAACATGTTGGGATGTTACGTTAGCTTGCGCGCAACTGGCAAGTTATTTAGACTTACTGTGTCTGCATGAGTCTGAACTGTCTTTTGTTTGTCCTCTAGTCCTTGTTGGAAGGACATTATCCAAGTCCAAACCAGAGAGCATGTGTGGTTTTGGTATCCATTTCTGTTTGCTATTGCCAGATGCTTGTGCTCTTTCTGCTTGTTGTGATTTCTCTTGGGCCTTTTTCTCTGCCTTTTCTGCTTTTTCTTTTACTTCTTGGGCTTTTTGTTCTGCTTCCTTTGCCTTCTTCTGTTCTCTTTCTTTCTGGCTTCTGCTCTTTGAACCATCAGCAGGTGCGCTAGAGGTTGTCTGTTGGGGCAGACTTTTGAATGTTTTGGTTGACTGACCAGGCATGAGTAACCTTGGAGGGGTGCTTGATGCATCTGGTGTGATTAGAGCACTATCACTAGCTGCAGGCACTTTTACTTGTTCTTCATATTTGTCCAATCCTGGTGAGAAGAATTTACCTATTTTGTCATGAATTTCTGAAAAGAACTCAGAAATTTTAGAACCAGCTTTAGCTGATTGGGGTTGTATGGTCTGTATAGAATCATTTGCTGATGCAAAAAATTCCTCAGTTTGTTCTGACACATTATCCGGTGGTTCATCCTTTTTAGAAGATGTTGAAGGGGTTTTGTAAAATATCATGTCCAGTACCTCTAATGAATCAATGATTGGTTCAGGAGTAGGTTTGACAGTGTTGTCTGACTCTTTTGCAGACTGGTTGGCAGGATCTAGGGGAGGTGCTGGTTTTGTTGGGGACTTTGGTATCCTTATTGGAGTCTGTGCTGTTTAAGGAGGGACAATGACCTGTTTGGTAGAAGTTCCTGTATGTATTGGTTTAGGAATGGGAATATCATTGTCATC